AACGAGGCCCCTCTCCTCTGCAAAATCGAGGATGATGCTGACGGGGTGCGTCAACGGGGTCCGAGGGCGGTCCAGGAGAATGGGCTGGGCCCAGGTCTTAGGGTTGCTCCTATAACCTCCCCCGGGCTTGGCTTGGCCTTGCCGAGGGCGGTCATCAGAGGGTCCCGAAGCCTTGGGGCGATTTGGAGGAGCCCCCGGCCCTCGGTTGTGCTTGTTGTCAGCCCTCGGGGGCTGCTGGTCCGGATGCTGGTGATACTTCTCCACCTCCTCGGCCTCAGCATATCGGTCCCCCCGCTGCAAGGCCCTTATGTAGTCGCGGGGGGTTCAATGATGAGGCTCCTTGAAAAGTTGCCGGTGCGGAGGACGGTTTGTAGGAGGGCCAGGAGGGTCCCGTCATCAGCACCGTCGACCTTGTCGGCCTCCGTCCTCCAGCGCTCCAGGAAATCCCGAAGGGTTTCATCCTTCTTCTGGCGTATTGTTAGGAGGTGGGAGAAGTGCTTCCTTGTGCGACGCCTCCCGGCAAATTGTGTCAAGAACCGCTGGGCGAGTTCTTGCCATGAATCAATACAGCCCTCGGGCAGCCTGTTGAACCATTCGTATGCTGGTCCCTCTAAGGTGGAGAGGAACCAACGACACAAATATTCGTCTGACGCCCCCACCATCATCATGCTGTTCTGGTACTTGCTGTAATGTTCCTGGGGGTCCGTTTTCCCGGTGTAGGGCTGTATGTGTTGCCCTCGGTATTTCTCCGGGATCCGGGCCGCCAATACCCTTGGGGTGAATGGCGTCCGAGTCCGGAGCTGTATGACGGGTTCCCCGGAGCCCTCGGCCACCTTCTTCTGTAATTCCTCCATTTTGGCCATCATGGCCTCGTATTTGAGGTCTGAGTGAGGGGTGGAGGTGGTGGCGTGAACTTTGTTGGACTCCATCTCGTCAAGCCGGCGTTGGAGGGCCGCAATAATCTCGTCCCGAGGGTCCCTCGGGAGGGTCTCCGCCCCCTGCGAACGAACCCGGGCCGAGTGGGCCTGGTTGATTTGGTGCCGAGCATCATCGGCATGAAGGGGTGCCTTGCCTTTGTCCCGAGGGGGACGCTCCTCGTCTGCCCTCGAAACAGATCCCCCGCTTTCCATGGGCCTTTGGAGTGATCTCCCCCCGAGGCGGTCTTGAACCCCTCGGCGGTCTGGCCCTCCTCCGAGCCAGTTGAGGGCGGAAATACGGGGCCTCTCCCTGTTGTCATTATGGCGGTCCCGGGACTGAACTTCCTGGGAGGATGTTTCTTGGGCCACCACCCCTTCGTCGTTTCGCACCCGAGGGGTGGGATTTCCGAAGGGGTGTGGCAGAGGGGGAAGTATGATATTCTCCCCGATCTGAGGGTGAGCTGGAGCCAGGGTGCCGAAGGCACCCGGGTTCTGGGTGAGTGTCTGGATGAAGGCGGAGAGCGCCGATTGCACGTCGATGGTGAGAACCGGAGGGCTGACTTGGTCATCGCTCCGGTTTTTCTTCTTGGCCTCGATGCCGAGGCGGGCATCGGGGGCATTTTGCTGGATCTGAAGGCGTAGGTCGACAGCCGCCTGTTCCAGCCCAGCGATGACACCGCCCTCGGGAGCCCTATGAGAGGCTTCGGGGGTGTTGACGTCGCCGAGGGGCAGGTTCTTGTCTTCTACGTTCTTTGAGTTGGCACGTGTTGTCCTCACCATTTTGATAGAGGGCTAGTGTTTGTGTTTGGTCGAGGGGGAGGGTTTCTTACTCGATTGTTCAAGCTCTCAACGAGAGCACCAAATGATGGATAGTCTACCCGGGGGTATATATCCGAAGGGTTATTACGGGGAATGATTTAGAGAGAAGTCAGAGCAGGTAAACGTAGAGAGAGAGAGAGAGTATTATAAATGTGGAGTGTTTTCAGCGTGGTTACAAATGGGGAAATGAGGTGCTATTTATAGTAGCAATAAATGCCGGGCAGGGACACGTGTCAAGCGCTCATTGGCCGAGGGGTCACCTCAACTGGTTGGCGCTGGCAGCCGCATGTGGCCGCATTTAATGCGGCTGTTGGATGGGACGTCTGTGCGGGGTACGGTGATCTGTACGCATGTGAGGCAGATATCTTGTCGAGTGAGATGCCTTCGGCTATAGAGCAGTAGCCGAGGGCTATAGAGCTGGTGCCGAGGGCTCACAATGTCGAGGGCTACTGTTTTCGCCGTTTTTCTCCCAGTTTCTTAGTTTGCTTGAGAAACCCGTTCTGTGAAAATTTGGAGCCTTCGGCCAGGGGGCCGAAGGCACCCCTGTGCGTTGTGCAGACTGCTTGGTACTCCGGGCGCTGTGAATTGGGCCTGTTGGGCCTTTTGGGCTTGTTGGGCCTTTGCTGGAGTAGTAGGAGTCTGTGGGCCGGGGTTTCCCGGGTCATATACTCCATCAATTAGTTATCTCGCACCCCCTCAAAATTTATTGTATTTAAATTACCTAATGCATAGCAACGGCTACACTTTTTGGTTTGGATGGAATTACCTCACTGTTCCAACGGGAGAAGACTGGTCCACACACTTTTCATCGTTAACTTTTCCGTATAAGGCAAATTAGAATATTAATTAACAGTACATTATTCCCCACAGACTTATTCCAATAAGTCAATGCGTTTGTAACGACTACTTGTTTTTCAAATATTGTTCTCTGACCTTTATTTAGTTTATACCTTGTATGGCTTTGTCTTCATTATTTTACTTGTTTCCTCGAATGGCTTTGTAGAAATCTGACATTGTTACTTGTCCAACAAAATAAGATTGAAAATAAATCCATTTGTTGTCTTTAGTACTAAATATAGTATGCAACTTATATATTCAAAAAGTTTTACTAACCAACATCTGACTGTTTTTTTTTTTGAAAATATATAAAAATGGAAGAAATATTTAACAAATAAATTGCCCGTAAAGCATGTAAAACGGAATAAAATAACATTCGACAAATTCCAATAAATAGGACATGAGACGGATAAAATTGAACATGTCTGGTGCAGCTAAATAATTTACTTATGGGTCACCCGTTTTACTAATGCTTCGTTTGGTTTAACAATGAAAACGAGATCGAAGAGAGGAGATATGAGGAAGAGAGTCCAAAGATAAAAAATCGTATTGCTTGGCATCATATTAGGTAGAACATGTGAGTCTTGATTTCGCACGCTAGATTGTATAATAATCAAAGTAAGTAAGATTGTAATCACAATATTTTCTTTTTAAATATATTTTTTCATATTTAGCATTCAATTTAGTAACTTAAGTTAAAATTTTATCAAATTTTAGTAAATTCGTCTGATTTAGCTAATTTCAGCGTAATGGTCTAGACACGTTTTGTTAGATCGACGTGGTGTCGTAGTCAATCAAATGTTTTCAAAGAAACAAAATAAGTGTTGATTGAAAGGCCGAGAGTAAAATTGACAAAGACATAAGATAAACTAAAGAGATAAAATGAAACGCTAAATTAATAATATTTCAAATAGAATTGCAGGGGCGGCTTTGAGGGCAGTTGGGCCAGGCAACTGCCTTGGGCCTCAACTACCAAGGGGGCCTCCAAAAAATTCTAATCTCGTATTAGTATTAGGTGTTATTCGCAGACCGCTAATACACCAAGCGGCAACTGCAAGCAGACATCAGCTTTATAGTTCACTTTTGACTATTCGTCCTTCATCAAAGTTGTAGCTAATGAAGTCTTCTATCCAACAAAACTTGCAAAATTGGATTTGAATCATCCAATAAAAATATATGAATAAAATGGTGGAAGGTCGCATTCTGAAATCTCAACAGAGATTGTCTAACTTCATCGTCTGTTTTCACCTTGCTTCTCTCAGATTCTCACAATGGTGTTTTCATATGATTTTTAGCCCTTGAAGTTGGCTTTCATATGAAACTTGAATCATGTTTTTTGGATGTTCCTAAGAAAAGATATGCTTGAACGATTGACAGAACGTCATCCTGACCGTTGTTTTCAAACTCTATTCGTCTTCTTTTGATCCCGTAGCCAATTCTAGAGCTCTTTTGTCTTCAAAACTTTGTCTTTAACACCTCACTGATCTCCAATGCTCCTAATCAACTCTAAAATGCTTCTCAACTCGTCCCTATTGCTTCTCAAACACCGGTGCCATGCTCAAATTTCCTGATTTTGACTCCAAAAATACCAAAACTCGAACCAACGGCCGGTAAATATGACTTGAGCTTAAAATTGAGACTTATTACACCTTAAAGTTAGGAAAAAACTATCAAAAGCCGATCTCAACACGCATCAACGTCCAACACAGACCGCTAATCGGCTACTGTATATATGCCTCATTGCCCACCGTCGACATGGGTCCTTGGTTAGTGAATCAACTAAGATTCTTCAGCTCTTCTCTCTGAGTCTCGTTCTTGAAGTCTCTTAATACTTTTACAAGTACAAATTTGCCTTGTGTTTTGAATAAGTTTGCATTTTAAAATTTATCCTTTTGAATATTACAAACATTATATCGTGGACTTTGAATATGCTTTTTTTCATAAGGCGATTTTTATTCAATTTATCTGATTTTAAAAGTGATTTGTACATAGTAAATATTTTTCATCTGGGGCCTCCAAAATGCTCAAGCCGCCTCTGTAGAATTGATTCATTTTTTGTCCCGTCATTTCTGATATTCATTGAAACATAATTACATGTGAAGTAGTTGTCCCAATTGATTCAATTTCAACTCAATATGAGTTGCAATGATCATACGAACGTAAGAATTGAAACTTGCCCAGGTAGGAAACCAATGTATATCGGTTGTGTTTAGAACATTGGGTTATGTTTTAATCCCATTTAGAAAATATTTTGCCTAAATATGATCACTTATGGGCTTAGGAAGTTGATGTGGTCTGTGATGAATATGTGGGAAATGACGATAGAAGAAACGAGATAAGAAGTGCATGAGCTGAATGTGAAAAAGGATCCGAGTATCGATTTCTCCGTATTTAATTAGTACGTTGTGTCGGGACGACTTTATCTAACTTATATGGAGTATTATTAAATCACTTCTTAATCAATCAATTCCAGTAAAAAAAATCAATCAATTACTACCAGCCTAAAAAATGGATCCGGTTTCTCTGCCTGGATTTGGCCACTGGGTAAGGTGCCTGATTATTTATGGCCGTCGGATGCAATATTTGCAAATCCCAACGTGCTGTTTCTTTCTTCTTTGTCGTCCGATTTGTGCCAAGGACCTTGCCGTGCGGCAAATGACGGCGATGGAACTAAAAAACAGTCCTACAAAAAAAAATTGTTTGTGCACGCCATTTTTGTTTAAGCCTCATACATGTCGTTTATCAAGATCCATTTTGGTCTATGAATGATACTCCTTTCGTCCCATTAGAAGGTTCACACTTTCCTTTTTTGGACGTCCCATATAAAGATTCTCATTTCCATTTTAGGAACCAAGTAACAATCTGAAGTGACAAGTCAATCATTAAATATTAAAAAGAATACATTTATAACATCACAGTTATCAATACTAACTACATTATAATATATACCTATTAAAATTATTTCTCAAAATATACTCGAAGTAATTTTTTTAATTATTGTCTAAATAACTATGTCGTTTTGCTATGAGAACCTCCCAACAGGACGGAGGTAATATTTAGTATTTACACTAAAAAAACTTTCATAGATGACATGTATAGAGCGTGTACAAAAAGAGCCCTATGCAAGGTGTAGTGCTTAACAAAAAAAATGTTAAACTGTTAAATCTTTAGAAATAGGGTCATGATTGGTGTACACAAGGTGTACACAAAATATGTACATTACCTGTGTACACAGGCAATTGGATATAAAATTCTGTCATTTTCTAAATGAATTGCCTGTGTACACAAGCATCTACGGGGTTTTGTGTACGGTTTATATGCAACTCATGTACACTAGGCTAGAATCTAAGGTTTATAAGCATTTTCTTTAGAAATAACTTCTTAGAAACCCTTCTTAGAAACCCTACTTAACTTCTTAGTGCTACGTAGTAGGCATCTTTTGTAGGATAGAAACCCTTGATTTGCTCCCATTATTCCTGGGTATCCTGTCGAGTGTCGTACTAAAACAGATACTCTTACCCTCGTTTGGTCCAAATCGAATAAATCTCCTCAAATTCATGAAATTCTATTAAGAATGGGTAATTTGCTAAATTTTACAAAAAATACGTAATATATTTAAAATAGTTTTTATTAAAATAAAGAAAAACAAGCAGTTAAAATAATTATCTACATTTACTTCAACCAATTAGATAGAAAATTAAGAGCCGTGATTAGTGTACAAGTTTTTAGTGTACACCTTCGACACACTTGTCTGTCTACACAGATCGAGTCGTGTGTATATTGCCTGCATAGACAGACAAGTGAGTCAAAGGTGTATACAAAACAATGTGCACACCAAGCATTTTTCGAAAAGTAATTTAATTTCGAGCCTACTTATTTTGATTATTACACGCTTCAATGCATCAAAACAAAAGTTACATATTTAGATAAAATATTGACTAATAAGCTGAAAATAATGATAATCAAAGTGACTCTTAATTTTCAAGAGTGTTAATTTCATCCGAACAAAACCCTATCAAATTGAGATAAAAAAAACCAAAATATATGTACATATAAATGTAATAAAAACTCCTCAAAATCTGTCAAAAAAAAAAAACTAATCTCAAAAAATTCTTTATACCAATCTAAATCAATATGCAACCTTAGCTTGATGGTCTTGTCATTGTAAATGGCAATACCTCCCTGATGAAAACCGGACCGAATACTGTAATCTCGAGACTCGGTGATCAAACCGAGTCGACTCACTCTTCGTCCTAAAAGTCAGCATCTTCCCCTGTTCGCTAACCTTCAAAGTCTCAAGTCTCTCAGTCAACTCTCCCACCAAACTCCACATAGTCTGAGCCAATGGCTTGGTCACGCCCATGAACAGGACAGATAATCTCCCCTTACAGTCTTCCAGTCTCCTCAAATCACAAGCCAACTCGACCGAGTCAGCGAAGCTCAGGCGACCGAGTCTCTCCCGGAACTCGCTGAGTCTCGGTAACAATTCTTTCACTAAGGATGTATAGTCGCCCGATAACAAACCCATCACATCGTATAACAGCTTGTTGCCTTCCAGGAGGAGGGAATCGGGTGCTCTGCAAATCTCCTCGATCACTCCGATCAAAGAACCGATTTCTCTGATTAAATCTCCGTTCAAGAACAGGGAGATCTTCTCTGCCCTTTGATCTTTATCGGCGCCGGCGCCGGAAGATGAGCAGAGAAAGTAGCCCGTCACACGGGAAGCAGAGAGTAAGGTTTCCAGGTACCGGGCGTAGAATCTAACCCATGCCGAGAGCATCCACGTGGCAGTGGTGGCGCCGTCTCGGAAGGAGGCGAGCTTTAGGTAGTTCCGGCTGCCGGAGATCGGAGAGTTGGAGAGGCGATCCTGGAGGATGAACGGCCCGCGCTTGATGACGTGGTGGATGACCAGAAGACACTTCAGGGCGACGACGCAGTCTCCGGTGCGGTGCAGGCGGTCCATGAGGGCGCAGACGATGGTGGACGCGGTGGCGCGTGAGCCGTCACCGAGGGAGAGAAGGGCAGAGAGGTGGCAGTCATCTGGCGGCGCGTGTGGCGAGTGGGATGTGACGCGGAGGACTGCTAGGTGGAGAGAGAGGTTGCTCGGTTTCGACACGAAGGCGGCTTTGGATTGGGAGACTTTGTCTTTGACGATTCCGATGAGATGTCTGAGGTTTGAGATTCTTCCCATCGGCGATGAATGAGTTGAAAGATTGGGATTGGGAAGACGGATCACTGATTAGGAAGAGAGGCGTGGTGGGGTAATATATCATTTAATTCGAGATTTTTGAACATAAATATTCTGTATTAAAGAACTCTTTTTTTTGGCAATATAAAGAACTTTCTTTAAGTTGAAACTCGGTCTTGCAATATAGTAATATACGAAGTACTATTTCAATCATTCTTAAAAGTATACTCCGTATAATTTTGGCTAAACTTAAAAGTAGGAGAGTTATTGTGTGTCATGAATTTAGCGTGAGAATATTATTATGAGAGAATAATAGAATTGCTAATGAGTCATACTTCTCTCCATTTCTTTTTCTCCATTTTCTCTCTTTATTTCTTTTTCACTCTATCTTCCCTTAAAAAATTAATTAAACCACATCTTTTCTTTCTCCCTACCCCACCATTTCCCCATCTCACTCTATCTCTCTCTTAATGGAGACTTCCAGTTACCGGAGAGGAGCTAAATTCCTTACCAATGTGGTAGTCCTAATCAGGTATTTATACTAATCAAGATAAAGTAATTACACATTGATCCTTAATAATAATAGTAATAATACGTTATTATACTCCTTTGATAAGTTCGTATTTTGACAGGCATTTGATGCGTGTTGGGATCGACTTTTGATGGTTTTCCTAGCTTTAAGGTGTTGCAAGTCTCAATTTTAGCTCAAGTTATGTTTACCGGACGTTGGTTCGAGTTTTGTGTTTTCTGGAGTCAAAATTAGGAATTTAGAGTCCGACACCGGCGCTTGAGGAGCAAAAAGGATGATTCGAGAAACATTTGAGAGTGAATTGAGAGCTTTGGAGGTCACCGGGAGGTTCACAATGAAAATTTGATGACAAAAGAGCTCTAGGATTGGCTATTGGATCAAAAGAAGACAAATAGAGTTTGAAAACGGCGTTCGGAATGACCTTATGTCAATCGTACAAGCATATCTCTTCGTAGAAGCATCCAAAGGAAACGATTCAAATTGCATATGAAATCCAACTTCAAGGGGTACAAATCATATGCATACACCATTGCGAGAATATGAGACGAAGAAGGTGAAAATAGATGATGAAGTCAGATGATTCCTGTTGCGATTTCAGAATGAGACCTTCCACCATTTTATTCATATCTCTTGATTGGATGATTCAAATCCAGTTTTGCAAGTTGTAGTGGATATAGGACTTCATTATCTACAACTTTCATGAATAAAGTTTTGTCAAATTCGGACTAGAGAAACGGTGAAAAACAGGCCACGCACGATCATGCCCGGGAATGGACGCACGCCGTGCCTGTAGTATAATGAAGATGTCATCCGCTGGAATCCTGGCACGGTCGTGCCTGGAAGGGTAGGCACGATCGTGCCTACCCCCGTGTTACGCGAAAAGTTGTCCTAGTTCGACCAGAATTCGTATTTCCCCCCCTTTTTCTATAATAAGGCCTTCATACCCCTTTTTAAGGGGGATGAACATTACGGAGAGGCCTAGGGGCGAAATTACTTGCGTGTTTACGTTATTTTTTTCAAGAACCATGGGATTATTTTGTAAGTTCATTCTTTTTTATTAATGACAATTATTTCTATCTTCTCAATTCTATTGATTCTTCAATTATAAGTCGGGAGTAGTTTTAATTAGGGATTTGGGATTGATGAAGGGGTTAATCACGATGTATGGCTAGTTTCTTGATGGATTAATTGCATGAATGCCGTTTAATTTGTGTTTGAATAATTTAACTGATATCTTTTGTAACCTGGAACCGCGACTAGAATTACAATTGCTTGTAGAATAAATTAAGAGCGATCTAGTTTATTCTAGGACACATTCACACAAACTTAATCGCTCACTAAGAGATTAGTAGCGATTAAGGGGCCGTAAGCTCACTCGTCTTTGCAATAATTTAGGATCATGTCGCATGAGAGATCAACCTGGTCCCCTAAATTATTGTACTCTACGCCGCGAGAGCGGTAAGAACTTAGTAATGCTTAGCTAGGCTCAATTAAATTAATTTCATGTGATTAAGCTGATCAGCCAGAAATCTGATTACCCCGGAATCAATCCCTGCTCCCTTCGTCGTTAATTAGAGAGAAATCAACCTTTATTTATTAGTTAATTTGCATTTTAATTTCCCAATTAATCAAATCTCGCACATCACATTTATTTTATTTTCTTTTTATCGGTGATTTAATTAATACTTAATTCCCTTTTTCCGTCCCTGTGGAGACGATACTCGTACTTACACCACTATTCTACGATCTATTTTTAGGTGCGAGAAAACTCACATCACCCTTCAATCTGTGCGGGGGAAACCACGTGCAGATTGGAACGCAAAAATTCAAAACGCTGACTGGTGAGGTTCTTTGAAAAGATATCCACAATCTGGAACTGAGTAGGAATGTATCTGACAATAAGATCCCTATGAGCTACCCGTTCACGAACAAAATGATAATCAATTTTGATGTGTTTAATGTGATCATGTTGAATAGGATTAACTGCAAGATAAGAAGCAGATACATTATCACAAAAAAGCTTAACCGGATCCGAAACTAGAATGCCCATATCTGCCAGGAGAGAACGAATGAACAACGTATCTTGAACAGTGTAGACCTCAGCTCTATAATCAGCTTTAGTAGAGGACTTGGTGACGGTGAGCTGCTTCTTGGATCTCCAAGAAATAAGATTGCCTTCAAGAAAAGTAGCATATCTAGTGGTGGAGCGACAACTGTCTGGGCAACCAACCCAATCTGCATCTGAGTAGGCCACAATCACCGAAATTTTCTGACCTGACCAAAGCCATAATCCATGTGATAAATTGCCATTTAAGTACCTGTAAATATGCTTAACAACAGCTAAATGAGTACTACATGGAGCATGCATAAACTGAGAAACCAAGTGTGCAGCATAAGTAATGTCAGGTCGGGTAACAGTCAAGTACTGTAACGCACCTACCATACTACAATACTCAGTAGTATCACTCAAAAATTCTCCATCAGTAAGAGATAAAGTGGTGCGAGAGGGTAGAAGTGTTTTGACAGGCTTGACTGTGTGAAGATGAAAGCGAAGGGCTTGGATGCCCAAAAAATAATGCAGATTGCCCAGATCTCTCATAGCAAATTGTTTGGACAAAATAAGAATAAACTGATCAACAAGAGATGAAGAGCTACCTGTGATAAGAATATCATCCACAAAAAGTAATTACACATTGGTAATAGCATATTATTATTATTATTATTATTATTATTATTATTATTATTATTATTGTTGTTGTTGTTGTTGTTGTTGTTGTTATTACTATTATTATTATTATTAATAAAATTACTACTACTACTACTATTATTATTAAGGATCAATGTGTAATTACTTTATCTTGATTAGTATAAATACATGATTAGGGCTACCACATTAGTAAGCCATTATTCTCTCATAATAATATTTTGACATGGTATCAGAGCATAGGTTTCTAAACCTTTTTTTCGCACGATGACCAACTGGTTCAAACTGGCGGCGATTGACAAGCTCCATCGAAGAAGACAACGAAGGAGGTGATTCTAACCAGCGTCGATTGAGAAGCTCCATCGAAGGCCACATCGAAGGAGGTGCTCCGAAGCGGCGGCAAAAGAGTTGCAAGAGAGAAGAAAGGAGAAGAAGAAGATTGGTGGCGGCGTTCGGCAAATGGCCATTTGCGTGAACATGGTGCAGAGTGTAAGACGGGAGGATAAATGGGCCTGTTGCATACGGAAGTTGAAGGGCCTTGGTAGACTTTAGTCATAATTTTCGAAAATGAAATAGTGGTCATAAATTTGTCTTTAGAAAGCCTAATAGTCATATGTGTGACATTCTTTCAATAAAAAAAATTAATTTCATCAAAACATAAAAGAAATTATTATATTGATGACATTGACAAAGAAAATCTACAAAATCAACATGACATAAATAACAAGGGCCACGGAGAAAAAAGCCAACACCTAAACATTTCAGCTACTCCAGAGTTTATCTTTGCTATCCTTTGACCTTTGACCTTCAGCCGTTCCTGTCATTCTTTTCAGTTTTATCCCTAGATAACGAAGAACACTTCATATCTAAAAAGGCAAAAACATCACCTCTTTCAACCAAAGCAAGTCTAGTTACTCTATACAAAAGTGTTTACTGACAATTTTATTTCTAAATCTTGTTCATGTCATAGTGTCATACCCTTTGAACGGTTTTTATGTTATTTTGAGTAGTTTAAAATATAGAGCATCAACTTGACATTTAGAACACCGCTGCTAAGATTAATTAGATAACGAAGAACAAGAGGGTATCTTATTCGATTTGTAGATAGGAAGTTCTTGAAGACAAGAGGGTATCTTATTCAAGCGTTTCAATTCTTCAAGGCTTTGCTTATGTTTTATCTTACTCTTGTCCTGGGTAAATGTTTTAATGAACCTTAGTTTAGCTCTGATATAATAAACATGGAAGAATATATTGTTTATCAAAAGTATTTGGCATCCCCAAAGTATTTCAAAGAATCAAGGCACTATATTGAAGTGAAAGGAATAGAAAGAGGAGAAAGTATTCGTAGATAACATTTGCAAAAACACACTAATCATATTCCAAAAGAAAAATGCAAGAAACTCTTAATATCAAACAAATCAGATCCATTAACTGACGTAGTAAATACTGAAGGGATCTCAATACTGAACCAGCCTACTTAAGAGCATATGCATAAAGAGAAGAAGGTTCTAAGTATGGGCATAGAGTTGGAGTATAATAATTAATCATATCCAACCTCATAATCGGTAACAATATGACCATGATATCGAATGAGCTCGATCGATCTTAGGTCAAGGTCATACAGAAATGCGTCCCCAAGATCAATCTTGAGAAGGAGGGAAAGAGAACTCTTCTTATTATTATTAGCCGGAACAAAGGCGTCCATGAAAATGCACCTAGCCCTAGTCTTTCCCATATCTATCCTTGATAGCCCTCCGCCTTGTCCTTGATGACACTAAGGTGACATCGTTCTAGAGGGAATCCACACTTATATTGTACATCAACACCCACTCATTACGGGGTATGGTAGTCGGTCGCAAAATGCGGTTAATTCCGTCTTCAGCAGACTTTGGGAGCATGAAAAC